TGAGGAGCAGAAGGAGGGAGAATATGAGCAAAGAAGTCAGGACCACAAGGGGTGCACCCACCCACGGAGACAGTGGGGCTGATCTATTGGGAGCTCACCAAGTCCAGCTGGGCTGTGACTGAAAAAGCATGGGATAAAATCGGACTCTCTGAATATGGCGGACAATGAGTGCGGCTGAGAAACCAAGGACAATGGCACTGGGTTTTGATCCTACTTCATGTTCTGGCTCTGTGGGAGCCTAGCCAGTTTGGATATTCACCTTCCTAGACCAGGATGGAGGGGGGAGGACTTTGGAATTTCCACAGGGCAGGAAACCCTGACTGCTCTTCAGACTGGAGAGGGAGGTGGAGACTAGTGGGGAGAGGGGGAGAAGAGTGGGAGGAGGGGGAGGGAAAAGGGAGACGGGGAGGGAAACGGGAGGGAGGGAGGAGGCGGAATTTTTTTTTCTTTTTTCAAAAAAAAATATATTACAAAAAAAAAAAGCAGCCATCACCCCTGTCCCGTGGTGCATTTTTTGGCCTACTTTTCATGGAAATCAGATGACCTTATTTATGTTTTCTTAGTATCAGTTTTGTAATCTAAACACACAGTGTCTGTTTATTTTTAAAAGCTAAATGATTGCATAACCAGTGATATGTCATCAGTGACATTTTTGTCCACACTATAAAATAGTTTCCTGGCATCTACAACTATCTCAAATGGTGGTTGTAGCTGGACCCCAAACATAAAATAAACGAAGTTTATAATCATGACAGAAGGCTATGTGTGGCTAGATGGAATCCCTTTCCCTCATGCAAATTATTCACCTGAAATCATAATGAAGCACATGAGACATTTATGGTGAGGGATGAAGACATATTCATGGTGACTTACCCCAAATCAGGTAAGGGATAATTATGTCATATTATGGGCTGGAATTGAACCTAGAAACTTGTGATTGCTAACATAGTGCTTGGCAATTTGCTGTTACTCTTGTCCACAAAAAGGCGAGTACCTGAGGCTGCACACAAACTATTAAAGAGTTTTGACCTTTTGTTGTCACTCAGTGCATGAATGCCGCCCTCTCTATAACCATGTGCAGTGTACATGGAAGTGGGAACTTAGAATAACACCACTTCCCATCAGAGAGAGAATCAAGAAGAAAAAGATATAGTGAAGTGACAGTTCAGATGACCATGCAAGAAAATAGAGGAGCCAAAGAATGGATCCAGTGCTGAAGGAGACAAACAGCATCTGTTCTAGGAGATGAGTAAGGAATCATCAAGTTTAAATGAAATCAATTTGGGTTTATTAGATGATGGGGTGGGTGTTTAGGCAGAATATACCCTGCATATAATACACTCTTTCATACATTTTCATCCTGTGTGAACATTCTCTGTTAGAGCATTGTTTATTCTCCTGGGGAAATGTCTGTGTTTATCAAGGAATGTTCTAGCCAAAATGTATGCTTAAATAACCAAAAGTTTCAAGGACATTAAGCAAACAGCTTCCATTTGTCTAGCAGCCTTTCTGACTCTAGAATATCTGGAAAAGTGAGTAGTATTGTTCTGTATATTTATCACTGCTTATCTCTTCGTGTTTGAGGGAAAACCTTATCTTGAAATAAAAGCTTTGGAATATTATATAATGTCTCCTGCTGTAGTAAGCCCCTGGAAATCCCTTGTTTTGTTGAATCCTGTATTCAACATCAGAGCTGTGGCTCTAGTCTCTGCTTAGCTACAATATGTAGGTCCCAAAAAGGGACTCAATTGAAGAACAAGGAATATATAGAGCAATGCCTTAAGGGCCAGGAGGTGTCAGTAAGCTGGTAAGGGAACTGCTTCTAGATACAGTTGTAACCATGGGTTAAACAAAGGGCAAAAAGGAAGACCACAAATCTTTGACTTCTGAGGAAGTCCAAAAAGATAGAGGAGTAAGACTTTCAACACAAGTAACTCTGTTGGTTGACATATACATTGAGGGGTAGCATATATCCTGTGGGAAACTGATGGGTCTACCAGAAGGGAAATGCTGCTCATGACCTCGTAGTGTTAGAAAGAAGGATTTAGGAATAAGAAAATAGTTTAAGTTATACCTTATGTTTTATGCCCACAGTCTCTCCTTTCTGAAATTGTTTGCTCAAGGTAAGATTGGTTACCATAAGAGACATTCCTTTCTAAGAATACCAATAAAGCTGGGACATGTCATCTGTAAACTCATAGAACTTTTGTTCTACCCCAGAGATAGAGAGCGGAGGGGAAAAGAGTTAAACGGAGACACAGAGAGAGCATGGTTACTGCATGAGCTTTTGAAACTCAATACCCATCCCCAGGGACACAGTGGCTTCAGCAAGCTAACACAGACTTTGAATCCTCAAACTGTTTCACTTTTTGTTGACTGAACATTCAAATATGGGAGCCTATGGAGGTGATTCTCAATCAAACAACTTTAACATGTATATTTTTATTATACATATGATTTAAGTGTTGAAGATTTGAAAATGAATAACCAATTGCTATAATCTTCCCTGAGAATACTATTTCTTTCACTCTCACCAATCCAGCTTCGTTACCTATAGTTTGTTCTTTAGGGTTGAGGTTTTATGTGCTCTTCCCTGTCTACTCTTGTACATCTTTGAGTGTGGTACTTGTTTTCCTGATGTTGGATTACTCATGTTGGTAAAAACTGATGAATATATATATATATATTTACATTACTGTGAGATATAATATCACAACACTACTATGGAATAATCTTTCTGTAGACTACGAATATGCATTATTCTCATTGGTTAATATAAAATACAGGCTGGTAGCTAGATAGAAATTATAGGAGTTGCCAGTGAGACAGAGATTGAGTTGGGCAAGCAAAATGGAATAGAAGTAAAAGCCAGAAGCCTCAGGTCGCAAATATATTAATAGAAATTGGTTAAGTTATGAGTTAGTAACAAGTCTGACCTATTTGCTGTGCATATATAATTTATATTAAATCTCTGAGTCAGTTAGTTTGGAACCGAATGCTGGTTATTTAGGAGCAGGCAGTCAGGATAGGAAAACACCTAAAAAGTATACTCCCTAACAATCTTACATCCTCTTACAATTTTTCTGTTCCCTATTTCTCAACATACCCTGAGACCTAAGAGTTTGAGTTTTTGTATATGTGTCTAGTGGTACTGTGATCCACAACTCCCATTTTTGCTTGCTTGTTTTCTGTTGGATATTCCATCTGATGGAAAAAGAAGTTTCCTTGATGAGAACTGAAGAACATACTTATTTGTGGATGAAGGCAAAGTGTTTAGATTATTGTTAGGGATTGCATTGTTTTATTAAGACACTAGTTGTTGTTTCTCTTCTACGATTCATAATTTCATTAATAGCACAATTTCCATTACCAGATATCATTTTTCTATTGTTAAGAAGGCCTTCAGCCCAATTAGTAAAATATTGGCTACCACCAGAGTATGTGTGTTCATCTTCAAAACCCTTAGGGCTTTCATGCCACACTAGTCATTGATATGGGTTATAGATTGGTCAATCTCTTTGTTATTTTTCTCCTTTAGAAGCTTACATGGTTGCTTATGATGTGTTATGTAAGCTAATCCTCAGAGAGAAGGAATTCAGTTCATTTCAAGCTCAGGATCTCTGTAGTGAAGAGGCAAGCAGGCCTTTTCGTCCTGCATGGCTCCTGCACTGCTAGCTTTACACCCGAAATGACACAAATTGTATTCATTTAAACAAATGCCTGGCCCATTAGTTCCATCCTCTTATTGGCTAATTCTCACATCTTGATTAACCCATTTCTAATCATCTGTTTAGCACCATGAAGTGGTGGCTTACTGGGAAGATTCTAACCTACATCCATCTTGGGCCGGAGCTTCATGGCGTCTACCTGACTCTGCTTCTTTCTCCCAGAATTCTGTTCTGTCTTCTCCACCCACCTAAGGGCTGGCCTATCAAAAGGTCAAGGCAGTTTCTTTATTTGACCAATGAAAGTAACAAATTGACAGAAGACCCTCCTACATCATTTCACCTTTTTGAGTTTAAACAAAAAAGAAAGGCTTTAACTTTAACATAGTAAAATTACATATAACAAAACAGTTATCAAGCAAGAATTACAATTACAATATTTAGACCTATTTTATCTTTTACCACAACAAAGGAAAACTATAACTATAACTAACCATTCTTCAACTCCATCAAAGAATCCAGAAGGATATAATTTTACCTAAATAAACAAGAAGTAAGCAACTTCCAAAACTCTAGAAATGACAGAGACAACTTCCTGCCTGGACAGTCATTCAAAGTTCCTCTGTACTGTTGGGGCATCCATCTTCAGCCTACAGACCCATAGTATCCAGAAGACATTTCCAAGAAGCAGGAAAATTCAAAGACAGTTCAGTCACTTTTTGCTGTGTCTTGCAGAATGTCTCATAAACTCTTTCATAAATCAGGAACCTTTAGGCATCTCACCTTTAGGCAAGTTCAGCAGTCCTCTCTCTGAGAGTTCTTCATGTCCAGTTTATGCAACAGTCCAGGCAAGAGCAGTTTCTTGCCCAAATGGCTAACCAACTCCATAAGGAGCTTCTTCAATGCCCATCTTCCTCTTTAAGTAGCTGGTGCTACTTCCTTTTTCTTTCTTTTTCTTGCAGAAATCCTGCTAAGATATCTTCTTCACCTCTGATCTCATTCTCAGTAAAGAAAATATGGCTTCTACTACAGCTGTTTTTCCTCACCTCATCACTTTTTCTGATCTCCCAACATTAAAGGTCCTCTTTTGTTGAAAACATGGTGGTCATAATGGCCAGGGACTCAGATCTTTTAGGCAAACCAAGCTTTCCTATCTCCTCTGTTCATCCTAAGCTGCCTTCCTTTCTAAACTATCCTCATTTCTACATGTCAGCACCCACATAAATAGGAACACATTCTAAAATGGATTATCAGTAGTCAATCCTGGAAGAGTTTCAGAAGCCCTCCCTACCGGAAAATGCAAAGCAATTACTCCTAACATGTTTTCTAACAGAAACATACACACAAATCAAAACCAGAATATTGACAGAACTGGCAACCCTTCAAAACTAATTGCAAGACCATATCACTGAAGAAGGCATATAAACAACTGACTGGATATTGATGGGTCAAGCTGCTATCTAAATAGATCTTTCACTCCCTGTGTTCTAGCATCTGTTCTATAGGAAAGAAACTGAACACTGCTAAAAGTGAAACATAAACACCAACATAACCACAAATGGTTTTCCAGAAAATTTTCTTCTGGCTATAAGAGTCTATGTTAAAAGTGGCTCTCTATATCAACTCTGCAAAGCTCACATGTACTCAGGGAGACAGAGCCATCATACACAATGCCTGTGCAGTTCTGCTACAGGTCATCTGCTTACATATTATGACTACCAGCTTACTAGTTTTGTGGGATTCCTGTGAATAAATGTGACTCTGTTTCTTGTTTTTCTTATTAGGCTTTTTGCTTTCTGTGGTTTTGTCCAACTTTGATGTAATATCTTGTTTTATTAAATTAAAGTTTATTTATGTATTAAGTTTAATTTATTTAAAAAGTCTGCTTTATAAAATTAATTCATTGTGGGTATCTCATCATGCAGCCTGATACCTCTCAAGTCCCTGTAACTTCAAATGTACTCTCTACCATTTCAGGGTACCCACAAAGCTAGGGAAATACTTAATATCCCTCATAGTATTCATGAGGGAAATAAGATGATCTGAACCTGGACTGAGTAGGTCCACCCCAATATCTGTCTGATTTATGAATTGCTGGATCATGAGTTTGTGTCATACCTGTAGATCCAAAGCAGAAGGAGCTCTGTGACACAAGGCAGCAATAGGATAGCCAACAGGAATATTAGTGGGGGCCCCATATAAAGGATGTAGAAGAAGCCAGTCTTGAGCCAGACCAATTAATCATTGCAATGAACACTTAAAAGTAAAGATGAATGGAAAAGAGGTATGCTGTGTGACTCATTGTGTGACACTGAAACTTCCATGCCTGTTTAATTTTTTAGTAGAAACTGAAACAGTGATGAGGAGAGAGGAGTGATAAGGAGGTGTAGGAAAAGCAAGGAAATGGCCTACAGTTAGTAAAGATGTCCTGTTTGTCAAGATTAAGATATTCTTCATATTTACTGAGAAAAATTGGAACAGATCTCATAATACTTACAACAGTTAGACATGTATCTTCATCCATGTAACTGTGTATTGAGGTCAGCATATATGGAAATCTCATATGTAGCTGACCACCATAAGAGAAAAGAAATATCCATGATCTAACTTACCACAGATTGCTTATTAGTCACATAACGGTCCTAAAGATGGCCATATATCTCAGTTGGTAGAGTTGCTTCTCTAACCTGTAATAACCCCTGAATTTGATCTCTAGAGAGGAAAAAAACTGGTCAGGGTAGTCTATTCCTGCAATTCCTGCATTCTAGAGGTTAATTCAGGTTAATCAGAAGTTTACATAATTTTTAACTACACAAATAATTCCAGTGAGTTCTGTGTAACATTATGTCCCTTCTCAGATTTTCGATGGGGTTGAAGACTATATAAATGTATTCACTTTCCACTCATGACTTGGCCAAGCTATTTATTATATAAAACTTAAGCTAGTTAGAATAGGATATTTGTACTTATTGTATATAATTTCATAGGAGATTTAGAACTCTTTTACTTAAACAAAAGAGGGAGGCATTGTAGGAGCTCCTTCCACTCCTTCAGCCAATAGCCGTTGAGATACCAGCCCATTGGAGTGTGGTCTCTCTCCCTTTAAAAAAGTGGCCACTTCCCTCTCCTCTCTCTCTTGCTTCTGGCTCTGCTTCCGGCAACTAGACTCCTTCCTGATTGCGCAGAGGGCTGTTGTCTGGGATGGTGATCTGTAAGTTTTTTTTCCCTTTAAATAAATACCATCCTATTCATCATAATTCCAAATTGGTGTGGGGTTGTTTGTGATTTACCTTTATTATGGGAACTGGCTACAGTATCAGTTTTGTGTGTTTTATAAGTCTTATTGGAAATGAGTGACCTGCCCTCTCTCTTCTCCTTAGGGACCAACTGGTTGACAGAAATTGTTTGTTTAATTCAGTCCAAGGGAGATCCTACATTTACCCAATCTGTTCCTGTCTATGAGCGCTCACCATGGATAGAAATTAATCAGTACAGTATAGCACTAAAAAATAAGGAGAGCCCACGTCTCATCACTTCACACCTCCCTATCCAACTCTTCCCCAAGTCTTTCTTCAGTTCCAAGGCCAAGGTCAGTGCTAAGGTTTCAAAAACAATGTGATTAATGCTTTATAAATTTCTTCTATTGACTTACTGTTTTTAAATTTTATTTTTACTGTGTGTGTTTATCTGCTTGTACACCGCACATATATGAATGTGCCTACAGATGTCAGAAGAGGGCACTAGTTCCCCTAGAACTTCAGATACATATGGTTGTGTGCCAAGTGATGTTGGTGCTGGGAACTGAACCAAGTTCTTCTGCAAGAACAACAAGTGTTGTTAATCACTCAACTATCTCTTCAGAACCTACACATTCAATGTAAAAATAAGTGTTTTCATGTGTCTCTGTGTGTGTATTAATAATATGGCAGTCATATAGAAAAGAGGACGTCTTACAGAAGGTGATTCTTTCCTTCTATTATATGAGTTTAGATCTAACCCAGGTCCTTGTGTGTGGTGGCCAACAGATTACCAACTAAGGCACCTCTCCTACCTTGGAGATTGTAACTCTTTTAGGACTAACCATGCTTTGGGGAATGTATTGAAGACCTTTCTCTCTGTGTGTAGGTTTTTGTGTTTTTGGACATTTTGGGGCCTTATCTGATAGTGGATTACTGCACTTCAATAAAAACTGTTGAGCAAAGACAAGAATAATTTCATTTGTTACTACCATAGTTAATTATCAGTGATAGAAATAAATGGTATTACCCAGAAAACAACAGTTTAACACTGAGCAATTTCTTGTTTATTTACTATTATTTATTATGTGTGATGTGTATACATGTGGGCACATGCGTGCATATTTATTTGTGGGTATATATGATGAGAATATGTGTGTATTGTGTGTGCACCACGTTGTGTATTAAGTATATTATGTGTGAATAGTAAATATACACATCCTTGAGTATGTGGGTTTGCAGATGCATTTGGTGTGTGCACATATGTATATACATCTGATATTTGTGTGTGTGTAAATATGCATATGTATCTCTTACTCACAAGTATTCATCTTCATCCAGTTTAATTTGTTGATATTTTCAGGCAGAGTCTCTTAAGGTCCAAAATGATTTTGACCTAAAATTTATTTTCTTCTGCTTCTACCACAGAATGCTGGGATTAGATGGGGGTGACACCAGACCCAACTTGCAAATGCTTAAATTTGTATTGTAAACTATATTGTTATTTACTTCTAGTACTACATAAATTCAGTCAACCTTTTGGAAATATTTAATTTACCATACAAAGATGTGTGTGAGATTGTGTATGCATGTGCATATCTGTTTCAGTGTGTATGTATGTGTGTATGACTGCATTCATGAGTGTGGGCATGTATGTCTGTGTGATTATGTTCATGTATATGTATATATGTGTGTATATGCATGAACATTGTATTATTGCCCATATGACTATATGTGTGTATGTTTGTGTGAATGTGTTTGTGCACATATGTATAAGTGAGCATTATATTTGTGTGCCTTTGTGTATATATTTGTATGCATGTGTGAACATTCTATGTGTGTGCCTGTGTGTATGTATCCTATGCTTGTGTATTCTTACATGTACATTAGTGTACGCATGTGTTTTAGTATTTGCACATATGTTTATGTGTTGACTGAAGTTTTCTGTATCACCCGGCCCTTGTGCTGCCTAGTTCCTGCAATCATTAAGTCCCAAAGAAAACACACAGAGGCCTACATTAATCATAAACTGATTGGCCCAGTATCTCAGGTTCTTATTAACTCTTACAACTTATATTAGCCCGTTATTTTTGTCTATGCTAGCCACATGGCTTGGTGCCTTTTTCAGCAAGGCAGTCACTTCTTGCTTTTTCTGTGGTGGGCTAACAACTGCAGAGGAAATGGGCTTCTACTTTCCCAGAATTCTCCTGTTCTCCTTGACCCGCCTCTACTTCCTGTCTGGTTGTCCCACCTATACTTCCTGCCTGGCTACTAGCCAATCAGTGTTTATTTAAAATATAATTGACAGAATACAGACCATGGTACCACACAAGGAGAATCTGGGAAGAGGAAAGCGCATTCCTCTGCAGTCCTGCCCAGGTACAGAAGAAGGAAGATGGACTGCCTCACTGAAAATGGTACCAAGCCATGTGGCTAACATAGACAAAACTAATGGGCTAATATATGTTATAAGAATTAATAAGAAGCCTGAGATAATGGGACAATCAGTTTATAGTTCATGTAGACCTCTGTGTGCTTTCTTTGGGACTTAACAATTGCCAGAACCAGGCAGGACAGAAAACCTCAGTCAACATTTATGTGTGTATGCATAGGTATATATTGTGTCATTGGATACTGTTCTGAAGAGAATTCTCTTTTCTACCATGGGATTCTAGGAAATCAACATAAGAATGATAATCTTGATGAAAGTTCTTTCATACAATGGGTCATTGCACTGACCCACAAGTAACCAATTCACTAATTCAGTAAGAAATTAGTCTCCTCTGGATCAAATTACCCTCGTTGAAGTTGCTTGTTAGTCTCTGCATGTTAAGCATAGGTCATTATTAGACAGGTCTTTGGGTGTGTGAGCATATACTACTGTATGTCTGTGTTAACAGGAGCTCCACTAGTCAAAAAGCAAATTTATAAAACTATCTACATTCATATGACATGGAGAGATGACTCAGAAGAAGTTAAGAGCACTCACTGTTGTTCCAGGGAACTTGAGTCTGGGAAGCTTATTGAGATCCTTGTGGTCATTTGATGATGGAAGAAGATACCTAAGATTAAAAGGTTGTTATCTTACTTCCGTATACTAGTCTCAGGATATGCATATGAAGGGGGTATATACACTTATGAGCCCACATATATTGGTAATCCATTTATATTTGTAAAATGTTTTAATAAATTTTCAGGGAAATCATATGAATACATTGAAAACTGAGTGTATGGGTTTTTGACTCTACTGTCATTGTATTAAAGGTGATTTATCTCATTAGAAATCCCAGAGATGCTCTGGTATCAGGCTATCACTTCTGGTGTGCCACAAATTACATTAAGAAACCGGAATCACTGGAAGGATTCTTTGAAAATTTTTTTCAAGGAAAAGGTGAGTGTGTAAAGCAGTGTTGGTCTGGGAACCATGGGCTTTCTTTGATCCTCTCGGGTTTCCTTATATCTTTATAAATCTGAGCCTGTGGGCTTCACCTCCACTGGACAGTAGATCAGATAAGCAACAGGACTTTGGTATAGTCTCTGCTTAACTCATGGTTAAATAGTCCATGGTTTTTCAAATTACCTGACAATTCAGAGTACATAGGAGCCCACATATGCCTAACAATTTCTCTCAGTGGCTCCTTCTACAGGCTTACTTCTATGTTTTTTCTTTTAATACCAGGTCTCAATAATTTTCTCAGCCTGGCCTTGAGCTCACTATATATCTAAGACATTTATGAGATGTTGCAAGAGGGACTATAAAGCCACTGAAACCAACGTCTTCTGTTTGATTATGTAGACTGTTCACTCAATCTGATGCTAAAGAAGAGCAATATGAAAAATGAATATTATATGTGGATTTCTGAGGTGACTCATCAGTTAAGAGTGCTTGCCACATAATCATAAAGACCTGAGACCAGAATTCTCTTCCCATATAAGAGTCTGGAAACAGTTTACTTTATATCAGTAAAAATGGAGCTGTAAAATATAGTAGGCTCTCTGGAAACATAAGCAATTTTTCTTTTATTGGAATGGAACAGCATGAGCACATCAATTTATAGGAGAAAGTTTATATTAGCTAATAGTTCCAGTGGAACAAAAGTCCATCATGCGTGAGCAGAGGCATGGCAGCAGTAGCAAGAAGCTTAGAGATTACTTCCTTAAACATAAACATGAACCAGAGAGAATGAACAGGGAATGACTAGAGATTTTGAAACTTTAAAGCCTATTCCAGGGCTATAATTCCTCAATCAAGGTAATACCACTTATATTTATTTAAAGAGATCCACCAAAAAAATCTGCGATAATATGGTAATATTATTCAAACCACCAAATGGAGATTGGGGTGGCCAGCTTTTCTAAAAATTCTAAGGTAAGAGCTTAGGGGAAAAACAACACCTCAAAGAACAAATGCAAATATCAACAAATAACTTCCACCTCTGGCATATGCACCTATAACACATGCAAGTACACCCAAACACAACTAGCCTAAAAAAGTACCAATATACTATAATATATACATCAAGAGTTAGAAAACATAAGTTAAACCAAAAAATACAGAATTAAATTATTCTAGGTAAACATTAAGAATACAACCAGACATAGCTGACGACATTGTATTGCTAAAAAAAAAAAATGGATTTGCAAGAAACAAATGATGTGTCAGGAAAGATGGCTTAACAGTTAGGGGTGTAGGCTGCTCTTTCAGAGGATAAAAATACAGAGTCCAGGACCAATGTCAGATAGTTTACACTCTCATGTAACACCAGCTGATAAACCTCATGGCCCCTGTAACTCAGTGCTGGAAAACCAGATACTGTGCACCAGAAAATTCGTTTAGCCAGACTAAAATGAAAGTGGAAAGCTTCAGTTCGAGTGAAAGAGCTTATTGAAGTAAATAAGGTGTTAATGAGTTAGTAATCTTAAATTTTGCTTTAAATATTGACATTTTTATTTTTATAAATACTCAGTTATTTTAAATATGCACAGAATATGTTTTTCAATTACAGATTAGAAATGTAGGGAGAGATTAACATTAAGCAACTATGTAGAGATGTTCTCTGTTTTCTTTTCAGCTATTCACAGCTACACATTAAATTAGCTTTTGTTTGTATGTGTATGTGCAAACACATGCTACAGCCTGTTTGTGGAGATCAGAGGACACCTTGATGGAGCAGTTATTTTTCACATCTAGTGGGTCAACGTAATCAAACACTGTTCATGAGGCTTGGCAACCCTTTCTTGTAATCTTGTAATTATGTAGCTGGATGTGTTTTTATCATTTTAATCTTCATTTTCAATTCTACCACAATTAGTACCATTTGGATCATGGTTTGATCACACTCGTGGATGGTTGTCCCAGAGAGAGAGAGATAACATTCTGATACTGAGCTATGAAGAACTGAAAAAGGTAAGCATCACTCTCACAATCACATACAACCTCTCAGTAGTTCACTCTTTGTTACATACCCCCCATTTCAGTGCCCCGTTCCACATGATTTGTCAGTTTTAGGCTGAAAGACAACCTTATAATAAGTGCATTTTGCTTTCTCAATTAGCCTATTCCTTGTTGGCCTTTTGCATACTCCAGGCTCTTTCTTAGGATCTTTTCAGCTTCATCTTGCAATGCAATGAAGGACTTTTACAGCTAAGGTGGCTCACCACAGCTTCTACTTGCACTGTTGGTTGTAAATGGCTCTGTACTGAGGCTGGTTGTAATGCCCAGTAGGAAAAAGCCTCTGTTGAACTAATGCAAGTATCTGAGATAAAATGCCCCAGAACATAGTTTACTGTTCAGGGCTTTTTTTGCATGCCTAGAATCCCTGCATTAGGGAGAAAGATACAGGGAGAACCCCAAGAACTTGGTGGTCAGGCACAGTAATCAAAACAGAAAGAGTTTTGGATTTAGTGAGAGACTATTTAAAGATGGTAAGGCATAGAGTATCAGAGAGAAACAATTATCTCCCCTGGTCTCTGCATGTGTGCCGATGGGTATATTCATATTCACATTTACCTGTATGCAGTACCACTCACATGCACATGTGTGTTGCAGCATTGTATGCTTCCCATAAGCTAGCCTGAGGAGATACTCTGGCCTTTCTTATCATTATCATTTAGCCTAAGCCTCACAATGCAGAGATTATAGGCATAACTGACTACTACACTCTATGTGGTCTCCTTTGCTTCTAAGTGCTGTGTTATCTGTTTGGGAGACATGGTAATATTGATCCAGGCTGGTCTCAAACTCACTATGTATCTGAGCATGGCCTTGAAGTCCTGATTTAGCTGACTCCACTTCTCAAGCACCAGAATTATTGGTATATATCAATATATCAAACAACTTGATAAACATTTTTTACATTTATTTATTCAATCATTGGAATACTGAAGTGTATAACTGCAAACATTTGAACATGTCACCACTCAAAAATAGACTTATTTATCTGTTTATTTGTTTGTAATTATATTTTGTGTGTGTATGTGTACCTGCTCTGTCATGTGTTTTTATAGCTTTGTAACCTTTAGTATCTGTGCTTACAGAACCCAATGATGGTGTGCAATCTGCAGAGTTTTTGTTACATTCAGTTGTGAGCTAGCTTACCTGAGTTGTGGGAGCCAAATACAATCCTCTAAAACAACTCCAATTGTTGCTTCACCTCTTATCACATTCATTCTTTTAAGAGTTATTAGTTATTGTGTATGCATGTTTGTATGTGTGCACATGTGTATATATGTACATACATGTGTGTGTATTTTTGTGTGCATGTGTTTGCATGCATATTCATGTGTGTATAATATGTTTGTATGGATTTGATTGGATATGTATGTATGTATGTATGTACCTATGCCTCTCTTCATGGTGAACATGTTGAGGTCAGAAGATAACTTGAGGGAATCTTTTCCCTTTCTAATGCTTCTTCATTATTGGACCTTCTCAGTATAGTCATTCCTTGCTTCCTTTCCTGTGTTTTTCCTTTTTCTTTCAATTATTTGGACTCTTCATTCTTAATTTCCTGTCTCTGTTTTCATTCAGGTTGACATTTTTACTATTTTTTTTCCTTTAGAACACAAGAAGAACTATCAAGAAGATCTGTGAATTCATAGGGGAGACTTTGAAACCACAGGAATTAGACTTAGTACTAAAGAACAGCTCCTTCCAGGTCATGAAAGAACGCAAGAAGATGGCTAACAAAAGCATTATAAATCATAAGGAAACATATTTGTTAATGATGAGAAAAGGTAGAGATAATGGTATAGTTCTCATATGTAACTGAATGCAGGAGGGTTTTCTTGTTATTGGAAAAGGAAGCTAAGATTTAAGGTGTTTGTATATGTCATGCAATATTGTTGAACTGGGTCTCCTCTACCTTATTTAATATATTTATTGCCAGGCTCATTTATTATTATGCAAATTTTATTTTTTTCTATATGGCTTAATGCATCTGCAAGGTGTCTTACCACATTTTCCACTGTTTGTTCTTCTGTTGATGATGTCTGGGCTGGCTCCATTTCCTTGGTACTTTGAATATTAGACATTGATATGAATGAGTATTTCTCTTTGCATATTAGGAACATTTGCATATATACCAAGAAGTGTTTACCTGAATGATATTTTATGTCTCTTTTGTATTTCTTTTGAAATATCCATACTTATTTCCAGAATGGCTGCACTCGTTCAAAGACTCACATTTTATAGTATATCCCAAAGGAGAGTAGATTCCCCTTATTCCCTTTTTTACTGACTTTTACTGTTCTTTATAATGATCTGGGACAATAAAGATTCTCAAAATAGTATTAATTCATATTTCCATTATGAGTAAAGGTGTTAAAAAATTACAAACCGCTTGCTGGTCATTTGAGTTTTGAGAATTATAAGGTCAGTTCATCAAGCTACCTCTGTATTGATGAATAGATAGTTTGATGATTATTGTTACCTGAGCTTCTCACATGTTCTTTTCTGAAAATAATTTCATAGAACTGATGTGTATTTCAGGAACTTTAAGGTAGTTGATTTAGCAGAGGGAGAAAATTCTGGTGGGAACTAGATAAGTTGGTATCACACTATGGATAAAATAACCTAGGGAATATTACAAAGAGACATAAGCTGAAATTTTTTTTGAAAGAATCAAGGAGTTTGGGTTATGAGATTCTGTAATTCATCTTCTGGTGAATAATGTGGCTATATGTATTCTAGACATGGTAATTAAACTTTGTATTCTAGTACATGGGAAAAGGAGGCAGAATGATCAGGAATCAATGGTATCAGTAGCTACATAACAAGTTTGATGCCAGTTGGAGCATGTGAAAAACTATTCTAAAAAACAGGCAAAAGAGCAAAAATAAAAAATCAGCAATAAAACAATGAGCCAACTTAAAACAAAATAAAACACACAAAAGGACAAACATACACACAGGTAAAAAAAAAAAACAAAGACAGACAACCAGGCAGACAGACACATGTACACACACACACACACACACACACACACACGGGAAACAAAACAAAACAAAAAAGCAGATATATCATTGTATTCATGAGCTCAGTTCTGTGAAAGTGCCTATTTCATGTACTCAGAGAAATCTCTTTAGGATTAGAATGTAACCCATTGGTTATATTTTTGGACTAGTATGCAAGGAGCTTCAATTTTCCTCCTAAACACTTTATATACTACGCATGATGCACCAGGCAAGTAATCTCAGCACTCGGCATGAGATTTAAGCATTAGAAGTTCAAGTTCATCTATATCTACATAGAAAGTTTTCAATTGCCACAGAATACATGAGGTTCTGTTTGAAAATATTTTACAAAAGGGCCAGTGTTATGTGCTCTGCAAATTATAATTATTTCCTACCAAGCATGATGGAAACTACTTGGTAGGAGAACCACTTCCTGTAATTTATGTTCCTGTCTCTCAATATAAACATTGTAATTACAATTTCCCGGAGGATCTATATATGTTTTTTTTAGCTCACTTTATTATTTAGCTTCTCTAGAATCATGAACTATAGGCTCAATGTCCTTTGTTTATGGCTAGAATCCACTAATGAGTGAGTACATACCATATTCATCTTTTTGGGTCTGAGTTATCTCACTCAGGATAGTGTTTTCTATTTCAATTTATTTGCATGCAAAATTCAAGATGCCATTGCTTTTTACCACTGAGTAGTACTCTAATGTGTAGATGTGCCACACTTTATCCATTCTTCCATTGAGGGGTATCTAGGTTGTTTCTAGGTTCTGACTATTACAAATAATGCTGCTATGAACATAGTTAAACAAATGTTTTTGTAGTTTGATTGGGCATCTCTTGGGTATATTCCCAAGAGTGGTATTGCTGGATCCTGAGGTAGGTTGACTCCCAATTTTCTGACAAACCACCACACTGATTTCCAAAGTGGTTGCATAAGTTTGCATTCCCACCAGAAATGGATGAGTGTTCCCCTTACTCCACATCCTCTCCAGCATAGGTTATCATTGTATTGCATGACAACTCACACACATAGCCATGAAAATTCTCTGTTTATTTCAGTACCCCATTTTTTAATTGGGTTATTTAGAATTTTAATGTCTGGTTTCTGGAGTTCTTTATATATTTTTGGAAATCAGATCTTTGTCTGATGTGGGGTTGGTAAAGATCTTCTCCCATTCAGTAGTTTGCCTTTTTGTCTTAATGACAGTGTCCTTTGCTTTACAGAAACTTCTCAGTTTTAGGAGGTCCCACTTATTCATTGTTGCTCTTATTGTCTGTGCTACTGGGGTTATATGTATGAAGGGGTCTCCTGTGGCATTGTGTTGCAGACTACTTCCCACTTTCTCTTCTATCAGGTTCAGTGTGGTCAGATTTATACTGATGTCTTTAATCCATTTGTACTTGAGTTTTGTACATGGTGATAGATATGGATATATTTTCATTCTTCTACAGGTTGATATCCAGTTATGCCACACCATTTGTTGAAGATGCTTTCCTTCTTCCATTGTATAATTTTAGTTTTTAATAGAAAAGTATGTATAGGCCAATATGAAATGCCTGAAAGAGACTGTTCCTAATGGTATATAGAGAAACTGTCTACTCAAAATTTTAGATTTCAGACTTCTAGAAGTTAATGTCTTTTTTAATTAGAGACATCACCAAGACTATTGAACCATTTTCGTTAAATGAGTATATGAACTTTGAGAGGATTTTTAACAAAAGGAAGTATGCACCTTTTTGTTTATGTGATATTTACAATTTTAAGTTAGTTGCATTGAGAATATTAGTCATCTATCTATATAGGAATATCATACAAATGAATTAGGGGATAGGCTGAGTCTTCAGACCTATCACAAGATGTAACCTCAGATTCTCCTCCATGTTTTCCAGGTATCACTGGAGACTGGAAATATCACTTCACAGTAGCCCAGGCTGAATACTTCGACAAAATATTCCAGGAGAAGATGGCAGATTTTCCAAAAGAGCTGTTCCCATGGGAATAATGGTCACAACAATCCAAATTTTACAGAAATATTATATTGTTTTATTATCCTTGTACTTGTGTATAGCATTAAACTTAGTATTTCATCCAGATTATTTCGTTAGCAAATTGTGGGCTGGTGAGGTGGCTCTGTAGGTAAAGGAATGTGCTATCAAGCCTGAGGACATGAATTCAATCTTGACATCAACATGGTAGGAAAGAATCAACAAGCTAAATTGGACCTCCGACTTCCACACTTATTACAAAATAAAGTAATGTAAACTTAAAATCTTATTAAATTTTTAAAAAACATAGAATGATAAAAATGATATAATTATGATTTCTAATTGTTTCAAGATGTTGTAGAAGAAATAAAATATAAGATATAAAAGAAATTAGGTTTATTTTTCATTCTTTTACATATGACTCCACAATGTTTTTTGATTGCTCTTCTGAGGGACTACTGTGGTGAAATTTTGTTTGTGGTCTAACAAATAAAACATGCATAAAGATCAGAGTGTGGTGCTAAGCCACTAGTTAGCCATAGAGGCCAGGGAGTCATGGCACCCATTTTTAATCCCTGAACTTGTGAGGCAGAACTAGATGGATCTTTGTGAGTTCAAGGTCATACTTGACTACATGAGATTGATAAATGTAGTTTGACACTATAAAGTAATTCCACACTAGCTTAGAATCGAATACAGTAAAGGGTTATTTATTTAGGCATAGACTCGTAAATCACAGTCCTCTGCACAAGCAGGTAGTAGGAACCAAATTCAGAAGCTGAGAGATATAGCATACAAGCTTTATGGCTGCATTTATAGTATAAAAGACCATGCCCAAGTGGGCTAGTGTGTGTTAAGGGCTATTGGCTAAAGGAGTTTCTACAGCACCTCTTCCTTTTGTCTAAACAAAAGAGTTCTAAGCCTAATACCAAACTATATACAGTAAGAACAAACATCAAGTATAAAATTAGAATTATAACCAGCATAAACAATAACAAGCAAGAAACATATGCTAAATGTTTCAATAATTATCCTATCCCAAGGATAAAGTCTTATATTAAAAATGGCTTGGATAAGTCATGAGACAGAATTAACTATGAATATATGTTCTTCAACCCTATCAAAGACCAGAGAAGGGAAACAATATTACTTGAGTAAACAGGAAGTGTAATCAAGCAACTTCCAAAATGTGCAATAAATGAAAGGGACAAGTGGCTACCTGAGCAATCACCCAAAGTTTCATTTGAAACATTGGAGCAAACAGAATTGGCTAAGGCCTAGAGTATATGACAAACAATTTTCAAAATCAGGAAAAATTTTCAAAACTGTCTATTCTGTCATGAAAAAGTTTAGTCATATATATTTTTTGTATCTTGCTTGTCCTGTCCAGACAGTGGGCAGTTTGTCAGTGGTCAAGACATGAGCAGTTTTGTGCCCAAGGGTCAGTTTTGCCAAAAAGAAAACAAGCTCCAAGTGGAATGTGTTTGGGGCTCAACATTCTCTGAGGAATAAATTGGTGCTGCCAGGAATAATCATGTTTCACATTAATAGAGCCTTAAATTGTTTAAATGTTATGTTCTATAGTTCTTTGAAGTAGTAGAACAGTTCCTATTTCTTTATTACCTGTTTATGCAGAATCAATCTTTATGCTTTTAAAGAATCTGATTAGTCTAACTATAAGTGTAACAAACATGGATGACTATTAACCTATATTTCTTAATACAGATGTAGCTTAAAGCCTAACACTTCATTTTAGAATATTAAACAATCTTTAAAAAACAAATGAGGACAATAACTTCAACTGTAGTATCTTTATCAGAAATATAAATATATAGTGCAATATGATAAATATATCCTAAAATTGTACTAATATACAAAATGTCTACATAACAGATGTAGAAGCATGCTTGCATACAAATATGTTAAATATCTATGCCTATGTGCACAAATATTATAAACAGAAATTGGAGCATATTCAATATAACAAATATAAATTGATTTTGTATCAATATATAAGAATATATACCAATGTAAATTGTCTGTAAATAATATCTCACAAGTATTCACTCTATCGCTTAATATTATTAATGTGAGTAAGCTCACACTAATCTTCCTATTATCCCATCCAATTTCCCCTTTTGTTTTCAAAGAGATCTCTGAGCCTACATAATTTCCACCCCAAACCCAACCCTTTACCAGTTATAATAAAACCCCAATTGATGTAATCCTGAGGACAGACTTTGTTGTGAGAGGGGACATCATCTAGAATTGTTTCCAGCTGTCATGGGGATGATGTTGTTTCTATGGGATCCTGTAAAACTAAAATAATGATTAAGTTTCAAACTGTCTCGCATAATTGCAAATATTCTCTGAGTATTTGTTAGGATTTTCCTAAAGTTATTACTTGAAATTCTGGCCAGAACATTGTAAGAAGGTACACCATTTCAGCTAAACAAGTTGGAATCATTTTCAGCAGCTTTTACCCCAAACTGATTTTAAAGTAGTGCTATCAGAATCATGGCACCATGGCTCCAGATGTTGTGGGGCCCCAACTTCATTCTAGAAACTTCTAAGATTACTGCAGAAAAATTTATTGCTCATTGTAGAAAACTTAAACATTATTCATATAGACATAAATTTAATACAAGTTATGATAGAGACAAAAGTAGTTATGAAGAGAAGTAAAACTTTTCCTATTCTATCTTCTTTCTGTTCATGTCAGATGGCTCCTGATATGACACAAATACTCTAAATTTTCTTTTAAAAACATGCTTGGATCTAGAGACAGATAGCCATTGTCTAACTCCAAACCCAACTTTGATTTTTAAGTAGAGATAGATACATGCTCAGGAATAAAATTTTACCATCCAGATGATACGGCCTCATAATTCAGATTACTTGGTGATTTCTTCTCGATAGCTACCATTTCGTGTTTAGGCATCTATATGTTTAAGATCTCTAAACTTTTAGAAGATGAGTATTGTCCTGAAAAGACAAGAACAGAACCCTGCCCCAACCATTATGAGGGTTTCCTTACCACCCATATGATTGTCACCTCTGTGGATGAGCTGTCATTTCTCTTTCTCAAGAGGTTTCTCTTTTCCAAACATAATCTTTATTAATTTTGATTGTATCCATAGTTTTTCTTTTTTTTTTGAACATAGTTGAGCACATGTTCTGGTGACAAAATTTAGAGGATACCACACTCCAGACTCAAAGACCACAAAGAAGTCAAGCTGGTATTTGTTTCATCCCCAATAGCTAGCTTTCACTGTGTGGAAGATGATATCCACACTGTTAGATGGGAAAAGTAATTATGATTCTTACCTACCTGTAAACACTGCAAACTACATAACGACTGGCCTGACAGGATATGCCCACTAGTACAATTGTGGCACAAACATGTGAGTTACCAGCTACTTTATAATCAGATATAAGACCTCCTTATCAGATGGAACCCATTCCTGACATTGTTTTTTATTACTTTATAAATAATACCATTCAAAATTTCCACTTTCTCCCTTCCTCCCACTTCCTTCCTGCTCATCCACTCACCCTTCCTCCCTCCCCTCCAGTCTTAAGAAAGGGCAGGGTACCCTGTGCTGTTGGAAGTCCAAGGCTTTCCCCTCTCCATCCAGGCTTAGGAAGGTGTGCATCCAAATAGACGAGGATACCAAAAGGCCAGGACATGCAGTAGAGACAAATCCCAGTACCATTATCATTGGCTCCTCAGTCTGCCCCAATTGTCAGCAAAACCCTTTCTCCAATATAACACATCTCTTGTATCCATTCTGAGATCAACATCCTTCAAATACACTGGCTGATTTAATTCAGAAGTTGTTTATTTATTATTCAATTTCTCTCTGCTGCTTTTGTTCCTTTCTCATTAGAGTTAAGAAAATTCAAGGTTAATAAAACATTAAACAATATATTTCTGGGGTGTTTTCCATCCATTTCAGTTTGTTTAACATATCCTTTATGGTTCAATTTGATCTTTCTATAACTGCCTGTTGTAGAGTTGTTTGGTATACTGAGACATATGCTAGATCATTATCTGTCTTTATTTGTGCAGGCATACACATGATGGTGATAACTTGTAAAAAATGCATGATTACTGAATTTCTGAGCTCAAAGCAGTTGCCCATTGAAAATCTGAATAAGTGTCAATAATGTGCTGTACACATTTTAATTTTCCAAAATCGGCAAAGTGGAACACATCCATCTGCCATATTTCACTCCATTGAGTACTCTTTGGGTTTCTCCCTGAAAATAACTGCATTTGGTTATAAAAAAAAAAAAAAGCAAGTAAGACATCTCATTATAATCTCCTTAGCTTATTTCCATGTAAAAGAAAACTCTTTCTTTAAATCTTTGCTATTGACAAAATGTTTTTTTTATGAAATTCTGAGGCCATCAGCACACTTCCAATCAATAATTGATCTATTTCTGCCTTACCTTTTCAAGAGGCCCTGACAGACCTGTTTGGAATCAGATGTGTGTTATGTATATGGGACAAAGCCTATTCCTGATTATATCTTGAATCTGATGAATAATGACGTCAATTCTATATCATCTAGTATACATTCGGCAGTTTCAATATGCAAAACAATGCTTTCTAAATATTAAGAATCAGTAACTATATTGAGAACTCCTTTAAAACCTCTGAGTATCATGGGAATAGCATATAATTCTGACTTTTGGACAGAATTATAAATGCTTTGTTTGACCTTACTTACAGCTTCAGATTTATAACTTGCCTTGCCTGATTTATTTGCATCAGTATAGAAAGAATGGGCTCCAGTTATTGGTGTGTCAGATAAAATACGGGGAGGGATCCAAATAGTTCTCTTTATAAGGTTAATTGTATCACTTTTGGGATAATTGCTGTTAATCTCTCCTAAAAAAATAGCATAAGCTCTTTGCCAGGGTTCATTGTCTTCCTATATTTTTAAAATTTCATCAGTATTAAAGGTGCTACAATCTCTGTTGGGTCTTTTCCTGATAGTTGACAAAGTACCATTTTTTTACAATTAATTCAGAAACATTTTCCATGTAAGTTTTTAATTCTTTGACTCAGTTTATAGGGTAAAAAATCCATTCTAAGATAAGATCTTCACTCTGCATTAAAATTCCTATAGGTGTGCTGAGCAGTGGTGCCACATGCCTTTAATCCCAGCACTCCAGAGACAGAGGCAGGTGGATCTCTGTGAGTTCTAGGCCAGCCTGATCTACAAGAACTAGTTCTAGGAAGGCTCTAGAGCTACAAAAAACCCTGTCTCAAAAAAAATCATATAGGTGAAATTCTGGAAGGCAATATGACTCTAATACAATTAAGTTTTGGATTCACATGAGCCACATTTATTTTCTATAATTTCTTTTCAATCAAAGTT